GGGGAGGGGTGGGTGGGTTCAGAAAAAGACATAACAAAATGTGGAGTTGGTTTACCTTTCCTTTCCGCTGCAAACTTTTGCAGGTAGAATCGAGAAAGTGTTATCATTTATTAATCACGCTCAGATCTATTTAGAAGTATAATTATTTATCAGCATGCTTGCTATTAACGATGCTCATCTCCATACAGAAAGCTGTCTACTAATAAATAATCTCTGCGATGTTCAGCAGCTGAATTGCATTTCAGAATAATATTTTCAGACGCAATTACACGTAAATGCTTAGCCCTGCGCATTTTAATTATTTCAAACACCTCAATACCAAATTTAATTTGATACGCAACGCAGGCAAGGGATTTCAAAACAGGATTTTTGAAAATGGTTTGGGATTATTTTTCTGAAGAAAACAGGGGAGAAACATAGAAACCTATGTGAGGCAGCGTGGTGGAATCAGGCTGTCGTCAATTTTTGGACATGTAGAGTTATTGGTATCATCTTAAAGTTTGTTCACTTGTCTTTATTTCGATGAAAAAAATATCCATTTATCTTCTATACAAGTCGAGATATTTTTGAAAGAAGGAGGAAGGGGTCACCTGTTTTCAGAGATAAAATTAATGTGAAAATGGCCGCCAAAGACTAGTTATTTCCTCAGCCTAAAAGTCCGTGGTAACTGAAAATTTACCTTTCTTTGCCTTTATTCAACGCTTTTCAGAAAAATCAACTCAGAAATGAGTTCTTAAATGGGCATGAAAGGTGTTGAGCCCAAAAAAAAATTGATTAAAATTCACAAACTGCGGAAAAATGCAAGTTTCTTCATTTTGATTATTTTGACGAGAGCCTGATTCCACCACGCTGCCTCACATATATTGAAGGAGCGGGGAGATAAAGAAAATGGATTTCGTTTTATAGGAAAGTAGGAGCAAACCACACCAGAGCACGTCCCGCCAAATACACACATTTATTAGAGGTATATTTCCACGTTTAAGTGTATCGGTTTAACCCCCTTATCTTAACTTTTATGTTATTTAAAAAGCAGGACACTCAAATTTAACGTCCGTCTCCGATAAGTTCAAGCCAAGTGGGTTGAGAGCCTAAAGAAGCTATACAAAATGATCCGACAAGTTCTAGATCGCCCAGTCTGGGATTCAAACCAGAGCCATCTGCAGCTGCATAATCCAACATGTTACCATTACTGAACTAACGAAGCACCCATAATTTCTACCTGTTTTGCCCATGTCTTGGCATCTGCCGGGAGAAGTTGATTAACCTTGCTGTTTCGTTTGAAGACTCAATAGTTTATCCATTCAGGTCAGTGAAAAGGGACCCACC